CATGTTAGCAGATACCTTAACCTCCTCTGGATTCACCTTTACTATTGAGTGCAACTTTAAGTGTTCATTCTAAAACTTCTCCACCTTACAAAAAAACCACTCTACTACAGGCTGTGCCATCACAACAGACATTTTGTTTGTGATCGAATTAGAATCTGGGTCTTAGGATTTGAAAGACAAACGCATTAATCCCCTGAAAGATTCAGTCAGTCTCTGTCAATTCCAATCAGGTAAAGGCACTGGTCATTTTGCTTCAATGCAGTCAGAGGGATTTTTTAATTTAGGGAGCTGGCCTTTTTATTTCAAGCTTATTTCATCTTTCAGGTAATAATTGCGTGTGAAGTACTGCAGGATTTAATACACTCATATGTCCCCTTAAGCTATCACAGTTCTCTGTAATTTCCAGAAATAATTGGTGGTCATCAGCAACAGCTAGTAAGTAGGACACAAAATTTACGCTGTGTTTGCTAAAACGGGGTGAAGAGTGAGAGGGAGAATGGTGTTGGAGTAGCTTGGGAAGTTTGTCACTTAAGCAGATGACTTGAGAGTAAGTTTATCTTGATTTGAAAGAGGGTGTCTGAAAAGAAGTTTGGAACAAAGGTCTGTGTGTAACTCCTTTTCCTTGTTGACAAGCAGACTTGCTTGGTAAACTGAAATTAAATAGGTTTTGGAATACATTCTGTGCAACAAGAATGGTGCGTGGAACTAGTTTAAAACTGAACAAGTTACTCTGCATTATCCAGGCAAGATCTTGTGATGCACGATTTTCTAAATCTAACGAGTTCTGAAATGAATAGTAGTATGTTTTCTGAATGCCACAGCATTAGGAAAATATAGTCATATGCAGAGTCTCTTAAATGCCCTTAAAATAAATGCAAGGTGTTGTTCTTAGTAGGCACAGTAGGAATTAGAATAAACTTCTTGACTATTTATATGCTTCTGTTTTGGCCAGGATGTTGTCCAAAACTGAATTGCCTGCTGTATCCCCTCATCCAGGCACTTTGTGTTCAAAGGATAATTAATTGTCCTAGGAAATGTCAGGCCGCCAGAATCCCAGTCAGATGGACAGGTGTTATGTGGTCTATATCAGTAAGCAATGCTTTTCTTGCAAATACTTTAAGACTTGTCTATGAGGTATCACGACTCACTGTCCAAAAACTCTCTGCAGAGGGAAGGTAATAGGCTGAAACCATGATATGAAAGTGTAATGGCAGCTGACCAGATGCTCTTATGTTGTTGTCATAGTTAATTAACATGTATCTCTTGGTTTTCTTCAGTTAAGTTCTTCAATATGTAGTATTTAGGGAAAATAGGTGAAAGAATTGTTTACAGTGCTGTTGAAGTGTAAGGGAAATCCCACTTGCAGCTGGACTTCAATAAAAGTTGTCCCTCTATATTTGCTTTCACTCTTTAATGAATCCTCATTCTTCCCTCTAGAAATCTTTGCCTTCTGCAACAAAAAGAAATCTGAATAGATCATGGAAAATTGAAGGAGCTGGGTCTCTTCAGCTTGGAGGAGACTGAGGGATGACCTTATTAATGTTTATAAATATGTAAACGGTGGGTGTCAGGAGGAGGGAGCCAGGCTCTTCTCAGTGATGTCCAATGACAGGACAAGGGACAATGGATACAAGCTGGAACATAGGAGGTTCCACAGAAACACTAGGAAAAACTTTTTCACTGTGGGGGTGACGGAGCACTGGCACAGGCTGCCCAGGGTGATTGTGGAGTCTCCTTCTCTGGAGACATTCAAAACCTGCCTGGATGCATTTCTGTGTGACCTACTGTAGGTGATGCTGCTTTGGCACGTGCCTTCCAACCCCTAACATTCTCTGATTCTGTGATGGTTTACTGTTTATGGCAGTGGGTGGTAATGTTCAGCTCCTGAATAAAATTCAAATCTTCTTCCATTTTCACGTTTTTCATAATTGTCACTTTAGTGTTCAGGATACTATAAAACACTGGGTTAGAAAATAGAGGACAGATTCTCTAATATGTCCTTGCATCTTTATATTGCTTAGTGTAACAAGGCTGGGAAAGCAACCTGTTTCTTGCCTCACCTGCTTTTAACTCTTTGTACACCACAGCATCTGAAGTTAGATGTGGATTTGATTAAAACATTTCACATGTATGCTATTCCCAGAGAAGTCTCTCAATTAAGAAGCGACACCTTACTTTTTTCTTGGTGGAGTTGAGTCTTTGCCCCTTTGCCCATTACTTTTTTTCAGGTGGACGATTTGATTTTTGATTTCTCTTGTCTTAAATGGTGTTATCTTTTGGTTTTATATTCAGATTAGTAGAGCAACTGCTAAAAGCAAGCAGGAACTGAAGTGTAAGGAAGCGTCAAGGGTTAGGGCTGGGCTGGCCACTGAATGCTGACTGCTGCTCTCTAGCCCCTCTTCCTTCCCAAACAGGAAGGGAGAGGGAATGAGGCAGACACTTACAGATTGGAAAAGAAAACTAAAAAGCTTTAATAAAAAAGCACTATATACATATATATATACACACACACACACAACCTATATTGAACCCAACTCACTCCCCTATAGCAATCACTACTGATAGTGCAGAGCATGCAGGCACCCAGGAATCCCCAGGCTCGGGATCAGGGGAAACTGGACACAGGAGTTGGATTCAGGAACTTGGGATCAGAATCAAAGGCAGAAGATCAGACTGAGTCCTCCTTGGACACTGGCCATTGGAGAAGGGAACTTAACTCTTGTGATCCCTCAGTTTGTACTGAATATGACATATATGGAGGGGAGTACTCTTGTTGGTCACCTGTCCTGTCTATTACCCCCCGGAGGTGCAACCTTTTACTTCCTTGTAACTACCCGGCACCCCCAGCGGGGCACACAAGAGCCAGCAGTGGCCTTGGTCACTATAGGAATAAGTATAAACAAGAGCCTGTCTGCATACCAATCCTTGGCAGCAGCTGTAAACACCAGGCATTATCACTTCTAGTAGCAGACACTGTCTGCAAAAAAACACGCTAACTTCAGAAGGTGCAGCTTCTGAGAGACTGAGCTGAAAAGTAAAATCACTAAACAGAATTGGTTCTCTTCACTCAAACCGGTACAGGGACATAGTAAAATAACTGCAACACAGTGATGTGATTTCAGCTTCAGTAGGTAGCTTTCTGTGAGGTCTGGGAAATGGGGCTATTCCTTTCCATCCCAAGACACTATAGTGTACTATAGAGCAATCCTTGTATTTGACAGAGAGTACGTTATGTCGTGATAGAACCATCTGTTCCAGGGACTTTCTGAAAAGTAAGAGGTGACTGTCTTCTCTTACTTTCTTCAGTTCTGTTTTACTCCCTGTGTTTCTACAGCCAATCTATCTGAATTTTTTACCGCTCCTCCCTGTACTCCTTGCCCTGTCTTGCCCTTGGCTTCTGGTGGTGGCTGCAGTCGCAGGACTCACTCCATCAGCCTTGCTCAAGGTTTCCATGCATCAGGATGAATTCTCTCTTCTGATATTAACAACCATAATGGAAGCACCTAGGCTATTTTCTCTTTCTTCTCTTCCACTTCTTTTTAGGCCTCCTGGCGTCTCACTTTCAGTGTGCAAACCATATATTACTGTATCATCTGGAAGGAAGAAGAGGCAGTGCCACAGACACTTTCTGTAGATAACAATATGTGCTATTGATTAGAAACAGTCTCATGAAATCTGCTCCTAAAATGAAGTCTTAATTTATGATCTTCAGTGCAACCAAGGAAACAAGAAAGAAATGGGGGAGGAGTGATGGCAGTGCTGTTCCGTACCTTCCTCATTGCATCAGAGTTCTTCATTTTGTAGATAAGAGGTTTCTAACTTACCTGTTAGTATGCCTGGAATCAGGAATTAATTTATGGCTTAGGGTTTACTTGTCACTTTTTTGGGGGCTACCATGACAGGAAGCAGTTCTCTGTAAGAAACTTGTCCTCTAGGCAAGTTTGTGGGCAACCTCATTAACATTTGCTCACAAATGACGGAAGGCAAGTGTTTTAAATCTCAGAGCTTCCCAAAGGAGCCTTGTGGTATGATTTCCATCTAAACTCCAGTTGGCCTCAGCATCTGGAAAATAATCCAGTAGAGCTGTATAGTATCTGAAGTATCAATAGTTGTAGAATAGTTACCTTTTATCTCTTGTTGTAACTGGAGATTAGCCTTCAAATGGGGAGAGGAGGGGAGGAAACACTGAGTAAGGAAGTGTCAGTGTAGTCCCTCCCTTCCCTCCTCTGTAGCAGAGCCATCTTCTAATCCTAGATGTCACTGGTTCATCAGGCTAAGAATGATTTTTTTGATACAGATCAAGAACTTTATATAGCGTATTCTGGGCCTTAGAATATGTGTAACTCTGGATTCCATGAGTGGCTAAAGGAGACTGTAAATGAAACCTTTGTCTTCCATATGGTGGCATAGATTACTCTAGCTAGACACATCCTTTTCAACTCTTTTAAATAGTTTTTTTCCAATAATGTTGTTAGTATTCTGTCTGTGACGTATGAGACTGACCTACATCAAATCGCAAAGGTACTTGGATAGCATCATACAACCTATATAAAACTAATTAGAGGCTTCTTAGTGCCTAATTTTAAAGTAATAAAAGCTATTAATTTTATCAGTATTTTGCCAAATTTGTGTACCTTTCAGTTGCATTAGTGTTGAATATTTGCTTACGTTGGTGCTGCAGTCACTGTTAATCATAAGCAAAACTTTTGGGGGGGGATTAGTGGGTTGGATTGGGTTTGGGCTCACGTGATTCTGTTTGCTTTATTGTTTTGGATTGTAGAATTGGACAGTGGAACTTGCATGACATAATGATTCTCTGTGTGAGGTAATGTGATATAGTGGTGAGGGTTTTTTAACTATTTTCTGTAACTTTCCTAGAAAGTATGAGTGTATTGTGCTTCTACTATCTGATGCAGCTATTTCAGGAGAGAATAATACTTAACAAATACAATGCTTAAAATGATGCTGAAGTATATTTTGTTCAGACCTTGTTGACTCCTTCTATTTTGCTTCACCTCCCCCCAGACAAACGTGTTGATGATTGGCCCTTGATGCAGTCTCCATTTCCAACACTGACTATAAGCACTATTTATCTCCTCACTGTCTGGCTGGGCCCCAAATGGATGAAGACAAGAGAGCCCTTCCAGTTACGTTTCCTGTTGGTTGTTTACAACTTTGGAATGGTTCTACTCAACTTCTTCATTTTCAAAGAGGTGTGTATGCTCTCTTACAGGAGGGAATTCCTATTTAAGTCTGAGAGTGTCTACAGATTGCAACATATTCATGGTGTCTCTTGAGGGTGAATGTTTTGCACAGACTTTAAAGCTGAGTTTGCCTTTTTATGTGAGTATTTCTGCAGCTAGGTGCATTCTATTTGAGAATAAATACACTGAGTCTGTAGGAGAATATAGCTTATGCTAGGGTGTAGTTTACACTGCTGTGTCTTTGCTTATGCAGATTGAGAGTCATCTTCCTGGAAGACCTCAGATCATAAATTTGCAAAGTCTATTTCCCGATGTAAGCACATAAACAGAGCAGTTAAAATTAATTAAAACATTACAGAACTCTTTTTCTGTTTGATCTGTTTTGTACTTCTGTCAGGAAAGCATGGCATATCTGATGATGATCTGCATATTGACCCTTCCCCAGAGCTTCTAAAATAAAATCATTAACTGATTTCAGCCTTTTTTAAAGATGTGGTTCAGTAAAATTTTAACCATCACACCTCAGTTGTCAATTTGTCTAAATTGTTTTCTTGCACTATTCAAGTAAGTAATAAAGTACTACAGGTACAACAGAGTGTAATGCTGATGCCCAAGGATGGTTGTGGGAATGGATGAAATCCAATCATCTTGGCAGGTTAAAACTGAAACTCCTCTGAAACGAATTCTGCAGTGATTTTGCCATGTGTGTCTTTTTTACTTCTTATTTTCAATTAGTTTCTTTTATCCACAAGCTCAATTATACCAGACTTCTGGTTAATTAATTTTCAAAACTATGTTGCTTATAGGATAATACATGTGTTTATATGTCTTTTCTTGGTCTTGGAGATTGATAGAAGGAAAGTGTTTGAGTTGTTTCCTTTAACCAGACAACATCTGCCTCAATCTATTAAGAGGTTTACTAATACTGGTGTGCCACTGTTGTAATTCTCATGAGTAATATAATTGTTATGAGTAAAATGATACACAGTTTATATTTTGTGGATGACTGTGAAGTTTCCAGGTATTGCTGAGAACAGAATTTGAATGTGAAGTGCCTTCAAGTGTTATTTAAATATTCATCCTGACAGCAGAATGTATGTTCATCTGTGATAACTTACATTGAAATGGTAAGCCCAGAAAGCACTGCTAGATTGTCTAGTTCAAGACTCCTGTACGTTGGCCTCAAATTCAGATTCAAATTAGGAGCAAATTTTGCTTAGAATATGCAGAAGTCCCAGATGCATACATCCTATTTTACCACAAAATCTTGTATTTCTTATTCTGCTCTGAGGCAGTCTGGTGAAGTCAATTTACTGCCTTTTACCAAGTGAACCTTGGCCAAATTACTGAGTAGGTTGGTACAGACTGATTAGTTTTTTGTAATAGTGTAAACTCTTCCCTGGTCTTCTCTTCTATTATCAAATATGCTCCCCACTTTAACAGACATGTGCGGGAAATAAGTCCAGAGTTTCACGAGGTTTTATAGATTGGTTTTACCTGGGTAACGCTTGCCTCTGCATCTGACTGCACTTCTACCGCTGTGTGCAAGTTGAGGTGTACAAGTAAACTCAAGTTCAGTTTAAATAAGACGGAAATCAGGTTAGCAGTAAGATAGTCAGTGCTTACCCTTGTTTGTTTTGGAGATCTTTTTGTATCACTCTTCTTTACTTTTACAGCTCCCAATTTACAGGTTATATCTGCTCTACTGCTATCTCTTTTGATCCTTGACAGGGTGGCATTACCTGGCTTTAAACAATCTTGGATAAAACATTTATGAATGTCAAGATTAGAAGTATTACTTGAACCTTGTACAACTCTAGGCAAGTGTTCTTCTTTCCAGTGGGAACTTGCTCAAATATGAAGTTTTTATCCTCCTGTTCAAGTTATTGCAATGTGCTTTACTTGGAGTGGCACTACAGGAGCATTTAATGTGCTTAAGGCATTTCTGTTGGTATGAAATGTGAACTTTTCTTCATCCAGTTTCTGTCAATATGTTTGATGGGTGCTCAGCATTGGCTCTTTAGGTTTTGGTGTTTTTACTGGGTTTGATTAGTATACTGTTTTAAGAATAGTAAATCCAAATTATCTAATCTGTGTTTGAGAGTTCTCTCAAATCCATCATGGGAATAGTGTTTCTGTCATTCACAGTGAAAGTGCTTATTTTCTGAAGCTGGAGCCATCAGCTTTGGCTAGCTTAAGGTCATACTGGAATTCTTGCTAATTTGTACAGAGCTCTAATTATCAGGGCAGATATATGCAGGGAAAAATGAGTAATTTCTTTTTAATTTACAGGAAAAAAATAGATACTGTATAACAACAGGTTGTTAGAACTAAATATTGACTTTATTCAATCGTATTCTCAAGACTGATAAGGATATTTTAAGTATTTCCGTTCAGGTAAGCTTGATGTAGCAAGAAATTTGCTGTTAATTGTTGTGAACATGTTTTATGTAGCATCTTTCCCCTCATGTGTGACTTTAATATTTTCAGCTGTTTTTGTCATCAAGAGCTCGAGGATACAGCTATGTCTGCCAGTCTGTGGATTATTCAGATAATGTTTATGAAGTTAGGGTGAGTATTTCTTTTTTGTATTTGTATATTAAGGTGTGTAATATATAGCACTACACAATGGTTTAAATCTTGTCTGTAAATTGTTTTTCCAAAGTTCTGCTGTCAGCCATGAATGTATCCCGTTATGTTCTCACAGACTACTTCAAGTGTGACTACATTGCACATAGCAGGTTTAATCAAAGTGTATCAGTGTATTTGCATTAACTTTCTCTGACTGCTGCAAGGAAGGGCAGTCTTAAAGATACCATCCTTGGCTTCATCTGTGGTTATACAATCCAGGATAAACTTTGTATGTGTACTTTGGTTCTTAGACCTTGCTGACGTTTGTGATACCGGAGTAGCCACAGTAAAGGTGTAGTGTTTGAGCTAGATCAAAGCAAATAAGATTTGTCAGCGCATATTGTGGTTGCACTTCACTCCTACCAGTGAGGCAGCTTTTTGTCTCCTTTACCTGTGTTTGGCTTCGTGAAGTCTTGCTGGCTTCTGGCAAATGTATTATCAGTACATTTCATTGTAGAAGCTTAGATTTCAAATGTGTGTTTTTTGGAAAGCATTCAAATTAAAATGAAAGTGCAAGTGCCTCTTAATTTCTGTAGCGCTGTTGATTAGCTCATGTACTAAACCTTATCTTCCGGCAGAGCTGACACTTGCGAATCTCTCAGCTGTTCTTGCAATTTTCACCTACAGATTAGAACATGTTCCTGAAAATGTAATGGAAGTGTGTTGCAGTCTAAACACATTTAATATTTATAACACATTTGAGAAAATGTCTGTCTGCAAGGTGGCTGTTCATGGGTAACATTACTCAAAAGCTTGTGCATGTGGCAAAGGTGGCAATGAGAAGGGTAGGTGTGAATCTTACACCTTGTGTATAATAACTGATATATATATATATATATAGGGATACATTCTGATACTGCAGAACAACTCCACGTAGATTTTTATTTGCCTTATGGCATTCACCTATCTTTAACCATTGCCAGTGCTATGCACTCACTCTTTCAGTCACTAGAATACTTCTGTTAATAATGTTATTTAAATGCAAAACCTAGCCAAGTGTAACAAATGCTTGACAGGGTTTTTTTTTCAATAGATGAGAAAAATAGAATGCCCTTGTACTCAACTGGATGACACTGAGCACTAGGATGGCATGTATTGAAAGGATTTTTATATTAGCAAAATAAAAGATTTTTAGTATGCAAAAATCCTGTTTCATAGCCTCACTTTTAGGTGCACTTGTTTGTGGGAGGCTATGGAGAGGTCAGACCTGCTCAAAAGAATTATCTTCTGTTTGTTGTTTCATCGTATGATAATGCTTCGGTTCTTATAAGGGCAAAACGATGTGCACAATGGATTTATTGCATATAATACGTGCAGAAATGAAAGGCTGCTCTAGCAACATCTACTCTTTGGATTCCCTGACTTTTTAAGATTTTTTTGAAAATCGTGGTTTTGAATAAACTTTATTTCTAAAGTCTTCAGTTGTCACATGTTGAGTTAGCAACTAAGAGAGTTAATAAAGCAGGGAAAATTGAGTTCTTGGGTTGCTGCAACAGCTGCATAGTATGTTATCAGTCAAGACCCTTATCTTGGTTATTATCCGGCAGTTCTTTTGATTGAATTCTCAATTTAGGTAAATAAGTTGCAAGTACAAAATTACATTTTCCATGACTGTACTTTGTCTAACTAAAGAGTCTGGGATATACTTCTGGCCTCCTTTAGAGTGTATCGTGCTCTGCATTTAGAAGGTATATTTCTGGGGTTCGACACTGTAGAGATTCCTTTCACCATCATTTTTTGTAATATAAACCTGCAAAATCAATTTTAAGCGTAAGTAAATGGACTGCTTCTTTCAGTTTTGAGTTTAGAATTGATTAACCTTGTAGCACGTATCTCACACCCATTTAATAGATCTAGATGGTAAATGTCTAGTGTCTGATGGCACCCAGTTTTCTCTGAAGAGGAATGCTGCTTTACAATAGCAGAATTAATTTCAAATGTAGTAACTTTTATTCATAAGAGAATGAGTAAGTAAGTCTTGTCTTAGTCAGATAAAAGAGTCTGGGACTACCTCAAATGGAAAGAGCACTGAGCCCAGAAAACATTATGGAACAGCTTCATATATGACTTATGGAGCTTAGAAAGCTGGAACAAGCATTGAGAAATGTGAAACTAATTGTATGTGGTGTTCTAAATGGCAACGTAGAAGCCCTACCGCGTCCCCTTTTGGGGAATGTGCCACTATGATGCTACTGTGTAGTGGCCCCTTTTGACCAAAGGTTTTACTCAAACTGAGAGGTCAAGAAACCATCCTTTGTTCCTCAAGGGAGTACAGAGACCTGGTAAACACCTCCCAAAAGGTGGTGCCTGAGAATGTCTTTCCTCTCCAACTCACATATTGTGAAGACAGTAAGCCGATGGTGATTTCAAGGGAACAGTGTAAGGGCATGTGGTGGCACTACCCCTCTGTAGGCTAGCCACACCAGTGATCACAGACCTCTCTAAGTCAGACATAACCACTTTGTTTGGCCACTGTTAAATGGGATGTTCTTCAATGAATTTACCTGGACTTTTTCTCTGACTTTAGCAAGTTTCTGGCTTTCACTGACAATTAATTTGATAGGTAGTTTACACGTAGTATGAAGCTGGTCCTTCTGCTTACTGTTTTGAACCTACCTACACCTGTTAATCTCATCCAGGCTCCCCTGACTGTTGTTCTGCAAGAAGCAACAGATGACTGGAACAAGCAGGGATAGAAATTAGATTCCACAGTTGCAGAAATATTTGTAGAAATAAACTCCTTTCTAAAAGACTTATCTTCTGGGTGGAGTAAGTAGCCACCTTACTGACTACTGGCAGGAAGTCGAGGAGTGTGTTTTGTAATTAGTTATACAAAAAAATAAAATGATTCTTAGTAGACAAGAGAGAAAAGGAGGAAGAAATTGTCAAGAAAGGATTTTGAAGGAGCTATAGTTGCATCTTGGAAAAACTTTTCTGGTCATAATTTAGTTGTCAAAATAATAAACATAAAGGGCTGAGCTGATTAGTCGTAGTCCTTTGAAAGCTCCAGTATTTGGCGTAAACAATTTCCTAATGCTGTCTAATTTAAGGCATGCAAGTCGCTGTGAATATTCACTTTTTCCCTCTGCTTACATCAGCATTTCGGAAGAGAATTTGGGGCTGTGTGAATTAGTTTTAAGTGAACTAGTTTAAGTGTGCTGATTGTAATAATTTTCAAGGTGAGCTATGGTTGTCTTCTGTATTGTAATTGCAATCTACATTAGAAGCATAGAAGAAATGTTTGTATTTATGTCTAGAACTTGTATAGTTTCTACTTAGAAAATAATAATTAATAATAATTGACTTTGAACTTCTGTGGAAAGGAAATTTGACTTAACAACATAGACTTTGTGGCCTTGTAAACAAAATTCTGTAACTGAAGCAGAGGAAAGAGTTCTCTTTAAAAGTCACCTTATTTTTTTCATGTTACCGTTACCATCAAAGTACCTGTCCCTTCAAATACCTTAATGGATAACCATCTCCAACTTGAAATGAGGAAGGAGAGTGCAGAAACAGAGACCCATGTTAAAACAGCCTTCAGTTCAAAAACCCTGCAGCAGGCAGAGGTCATGGGATTGGACCTCTTGTTGACCCCCTTAATCCTGGGCTGTAATGTAATCTTTCCCTGCCATCTGGTGTTTTAACAGACTTAGATTGGGGCATATGAAAATTGTCAGAAGAGGTATGTTTGTGACTAGTATTCTTCATTTCAGGAATATGCTTTTTTAATATGTATTTTCTTCTAAGCTAAATCTTCCTTTCATGCTGTGTCCAAAGAAAGGCTATAGTGTCCTAGGCCCTAGATTCTGATGCTTTGCAGAAGTTTAATAGTAGCCATCTGCTTCTGACATAGCTTACATATCAGTGTATTGTTCTTTTTTTTTCTGCATCTATAAGCTACTGATCAAAACATCTGTTTGAGTTATTTGGAGCACCGAACCAGATCATCAGTACATGAAACCTATCAGGTTTGAGAATAATTGGTAGTAAAATTTGTTGATAGGAAGAGAGCAAAAGAGCTGTAAGGTAAAAAACTCTACAGGAAGACAAAAGTGAGCAGGCATAATCCTGCAAAGACATGGACACTTTTTTCTTCTTGAGTGATGGGAAGCATTTTGATCAAAAGGAGTCGATTATGGTTTGTAATTGCTTTCTCTGCAGGGGAGGTGGAATTCAAAAGAAGGGGAATGTGGTGTGTTAACTGACTTGTCCAGGAGCCTATGGTGAACTTGTGGCATCTTGGGCATAAAACAAAAGATTTTTTGTTGGATTTTAATTCTGTTACATTTTGCCCTATGTCATACAGTAAATCAGCTACTTATTATTATACTGTTTCTTTAACAGAGTGCCCATCAGCTTTGTAAGAGATTTTGTGACAGTTTGCTTGTAACTAGCTTATTGATTCTTTAAAAGTTTCTCAGAAGGAGGGACCTCCAAAAAGCAGGAGTATTGTAGAGCTGGCTTGTCCTTTTATGGGTACAGACCAAAGTGTTTGTTGTTAACTCATGAGTTGAAAAGATGCTTATCTTAATTTATTTAAGAGATGCAGCTTTAGCAAAGATCTGTAGAAGATGCTGGACTGTTATGCTAATCCATGGGTGTGAGACAAAGCCTTGATGTGGGTGTTATTAAAAATCTGACTACCTGTCCCAGAGGCAGAACTGTACTGAATATTGAGCAACATATATGTAATATATATTGATGGTTCTTATTGCTTACCTGTGTATCTGGGAACGCCAAGGTCTGTGGGAGTCACTTTTCTGTCATTAAGCCTCTCTCCAGCTTTGACAGATATTAGTATCTTCTTAAATATAATTGTCAAAATCTGCCTTCTCTTCCCTGAGACCTGTAGTAGGCTAAATCACATCCAGAGCATGAGAAGGGTATTCATTAATGGATGCATAAAATCTGCAGTTTGGCAACAGTAAGTTGTGCAGTTCCTTTGGGAAGCTGCAGAGTCTGCAATGCAGATCTGCAGCATTCTTCTGCTCCCTTCCTGCTTTCTTTGCTTCTGCTGTAATCTCTCCTAGCAAAGCAAATCTGAAACATGTCTTTGCAGTAAGCACTATTCTACAGAGAAGAACTTCTATAAATGAGGTTTTAGTTTATAACCTGTGTTGTGGCTGTTGTTAGGTTAATTTTACTGTACTGATGATGTGTTGCTGCAATGCTCCTTTTCCGCCAGTTTGGCAAGATGGAGGAGAACACTCTGCAGGGCTTTAGCATTGCTCTGAAGTCTCATTCTCCTGATTCTCCTTTCTCTCACTTGTCTAACAGTATGTCTGTATTTGAAAAGGGAAGCTACTGCTGCCCTAAGTTTTTCTCTTCTCTCTCCCCTGGGAACTAAGGGGGTGGTGGGGTTATTTCACACCATGTTAAGGTAAGAAAGTCTCATTTGCCATCAGACGAGTCTTGAAAGACCAGGTAAACTTCTTACAAATAGGTATGTTGTGACATTGCCTGCTCTCCTTGCTGTTGGTGCCATTTCCAACTTTTTTTTTTTTTTTCCATTCTCTGTGTGAGTCACCATCTGGGATATGTTCTGGTCCCACCCTTGCATAACAAGCTAGTTGACTTACGATGCCAGGATCTAGACTTGTTGCTATGCTTTGGTATCTGGAAGGGAGTCCCACCACCACCATACCCCCATATCATAGTATTAGCAAATTGCTACACATGGCTTCTGGGCTGTACCTGGTACAACAGTATCTCAACTGCAGCAGGAAGCCGTGTTTATGTTGCATCTTGGGCAAGACTCACTGTGATGGGTGGATTAGAAAAAGAATTTTGGGTGTGTAGCACTGCTCTATTGAGTAGATGGGTTATATTCTTGCAACTCGTGTGGCTGTCCTGGTCTCATTTCTTCTATTGCCTGAGTGGCACAGGGCCTGTGCTGCTTTCCAGAGAGGGTTACTAGGCAGACCAGAAGAAGCTGAGAGGAATATTGCTCTAAGGGATATGAAATCAGTACCTCAGCTAGCTTGCAAGAGTGATTTGTTATCTTCCAACCCATATGCCTGTGGTACTGAAAGAATTTTATATAAGATTTCAACCTTTGAAGCTTTGTTACATCATCATGTTTCTACTTTGTTGTTCTGACCACATCGAAGTGTTGCCTCATTAGGACAGGAAGCCCTGTGGTAGCCTTCTCCCACAAACCTTAGGATGGAGAATGAGGACACAAACTCCCTATGTTTGGTTGGTAATCTGTTCAGAGATGGCAAAGCTTTTAATATTATGTTAACTCTTTTTCATGGTTGTGATTTGTGAGCAGTTGATTCAGAATAATGCTTCTATGTCCAGAATAGATGAATAGAGTGTTGATGTTGGTGTTGTTCTCTCACTGTCAGATGTTTGATGACTCCGTCTCAACATTTACCAGGATTTGGGGAAGGAAGAGATAACCTTCTCTTGCTCCAGATAGCTGGAGACAATTTTACTGCATTCAGTTTGGAATCACTAAAGTTTCTGTGTTGTCTTTTTTTTATTTGCAGATAGCTGCTGCTTTATGGTGGTATTATGTCTCTAAAGGAATTGAATATTTGGATACAGTATTCTTCATCCTGAGGAAGAAATTTAACCAAATTAGTTTCCTTCATGTCTATCACCATTTCACCATGTTCACCTTGTGGTGGATTGGTATTAAGTGGGTTGCAGGTGGACAAGGTGAGTTTGCTTCTACCCTTTTGACTGGATACAAAGGAGAGTTATTATTGTTTGGGAGTAATGGAAAAAAGTTTTTATAGACTTAACATTAGTATACAAGACTGATTAAAGGACACTGAAGCAGTGCAGTATCTCTAATGGGCACAGTTTTCCTCTGTGGGAAATGTGGGGGAGGAAAAGATAACAGGACAATAATCTAATGAATTGCAAAACTTTTTTCCTTCCCTCATGGGTATCAATTGCAAGCCTGAAATTCTGTCTTCAAAATTATACTTGTTCTGTAAGAAACAGAAAGGTGAATGTGTCTTGCTTAACTTTAATGTTTGCAGATATAGAGAATCACAAAGTCTAATTACAGGCCACAATCTGTGTCCAAATGTAATGAAGTTAATGGAGATATTATTCTGGCATTGGATTTGAGTTTAGGCCTTCCTTTCTTTTTGATAAAGAGGCATGTAAAAAATTCTGAAACCTTCCCTTGAAGGTGAGCCAATGAATCTGTCAATTAACTTTTAAAACCTACTCATAATGACACAAGTCCATAATTCATTATGAGCTTTTTTTTTCCTTTCTTCCTTTCTAAAGCCCCCATCAAATAATTCTATTCCATTGTATCTACCACACCCTCCCTTGCCTGCATTGTACCATTGTTCCTGTTATTTTGCCTTGTCTCTCTTAAATTATAAGCTCTACAGAGCTGAGGGTTCAGGGAAATACCCTGTTTTGTTTGTAATGTGCTTTGTGGGCTTAAGATACTGAATTTATAGTAAACACCACACCAAACTAATATTTGGGAGTTTTTGTCAAACCACACTAATACTTAGCATGTGGGGGGTTTATGCTCTCATTTATTCTATGCATCTTGTACTGAGCTGTTACTTATAATCAGAGGAGGGAATATTTAAAAGAAGTATCTATGACTATCCTTGAACTTCTCCCAGGTAAACTGCATGATGCAGGTACTGAGCCAGATCGTTATTGGCTACTGTGCCATAAAATAAATTTATTGGAGACCAGGTGCCTACTTATAGTCTTACTTAGAATTCCCGGGATATCTCAAAATGCCCTCTCTCTTGTTGCCTTTTCAGACTTCTCGTGCTAAGTATCAGCAGTTGTCAGTACAACAGTTGCAACTACTCCCAAGTTTTTATCAAGTTTTGGCGTTCTTGTGCTGCTGCTTAGTTTCTAGCCCCTATGAAGGGAAAAGCAACAGTTGTTCTTCTGCATTTATGTAGAGCTACTGTATAAATGTGAATAGATCTACGTTCTTCTGTTTTCTAGTTGATAGCACATTGCTTACATAGACAGATCTATTATAAACTAGACCCTATTATAACTGAGTCTAGACCACGTAGGCATCTGAGCTGTGTGATGTCAGCAGCTATTGCCTGTATTACCCTAATCTTATACATTAGAGCCTTTTTGAGCCTTTCTGATAGTGTAAGAATACTTTAGCAAGATAGAATTTGTTCTCTTAAAGTAGCTGCTGATCTTGACGGAGCAAGGAGATCTCAATGAAAATGAGAGCTGTTGTCTTTGTTTCCGGCACAGATTGTTCTGGAAGAAGTTATACTATATGTTTATGTATTTCAAAATACTGGATGTTTTGTGTCCTAAATAAGGAAACTAAAGATGAGCAATCTAGACAAACTCATTTGGCAGTGCCCTTAAACCTCTTATAAAGACAAGTGAAGTTTTGCATTGTATGATTTTTTTGGCATATTTAATCAGACTTCCACGTGAATTTCTTGACTTCTTACTGAGAACTGAATGTTGTGCATTTAAATACAGTTTAAAAGATTTAAGTTTAGAACTCATACTTTATCATTTACACTGCCAAGTACAGCTTTTAATATTCGTGTCAGCACGTGTTGGCAGTCAGGACTATGGTATACTATTATTTCAAAGATGGAGTCCTGGCATATCCTTGCACTTCATAATTTTTTGCTATCGCATGAATAATACTAGAAAATTTTCAAAATTACGTGACAATTTTTCCTTCTGTTCCTGGACAGCTTTTTTTGGAGCTCAGATGAACTCGTTTATTCATGTCATTATGTACATGTATTATGGATTAGCTGCCTGTGGCCCTAAATTTCAGAAATACCTGTGGTGGAAACGATACTTGACCATATTGCAATTGGTAAGTAAGATTTCTCACTTTATCTCAGAAGGTGCTGCCTCTGAGGGGATTTGCATTTGCAGAACATTGGAACAAATGCTGCTCCTCCCTAAAGTTTTTAGCTGATACTCACAGCTCAAGTTAGAATACTTCCTAGAGGTGGAATTACTTATTTAATTTCTCAATAAACGTGCAGCACAGGTAAGAGATATGTGAGTGAAGTCTGATACCACTTGACTGGTTGTTCCAACTGAATTGCAAAAACCTCTTCAGAAAGGAGTAGTCTGGATGTCTTAATGTCTTCTCACTTTCCTATTTTTGAAAACTGGTACCAGCTACCGCAATCAAGGTGATGTCCCTGGTCAAGCATATGTGCGCATGTGTGATGTAACAGCCAAATATGGCTTCTCTACCACCTCCCGATTTAGCAGTTTTTAATATCGTAATGCGTCGGTATACGTTGATGCAGTCAGACCTACAGAATATATCCGGACTTGTTTGATTCTATATTTTCTGTCTTTCAGGTGCAGTTCCACGTGACTATTGGCCACACAGCCTTGTCTATTTATATTGATTGTCCTTTCCCTAAATGGATGCACTGGGGTGTAATTTTCTATGCTATCACCTTCATTTTCCTGTTTGGTAACTTCTACTATCGGACATATAAGCTGCCCAAAGAACCAGTAAAGAACGGCAAAATAGCAAATGGTGCTGTTGCAAATGGAGTAAGCAAACCAGAAAATAATGCAGTGTTGGAAAATGGAAAAAAGCAGAAAAAGGGAAAAGCAAAAGGAGAGTAACTTGATCCAGGCCTTAACCATTGTTGGCAGTGAGGAACCTCCAGTTTGGTTTATAAAAGGAAGAAAAAAAACACTATCTGTACCAATTAACCTTAGGTTACTGAAGAGCTAGAACACAGATATTTTCATTATTTATGAAGATTGTTTTAAGAACAACACTAAAATTGAATTTCTATTGTAATTATGTAATTATCATGCATATGGTCTCTGTGTAAACTTGTAGACTGCTGGTGTTGGTGAATGTAAGGAAGAATTGCAGTTGATTCCATGTTTAGCAGTCCAGAAGTTAATACTACCATTGATACAGGCAGTTTTGTTGGCACCCACATTTCTTTGGGGAGGGAGGGGAAGGAAGTAGCATTTGGAAACTTGTGTTTTCTTTCCAGAAAATCATTAAATTTAAAATTCTGACGTATTATCTAATCAGAATGCGCAACTTTTCTTGTCTTGTTGGAGACTATCTTCAGACACATTATTATGTTTATGTGCTGTCAGAACAGTGTTTGACTTTTCAGACATTACTTGATTTAACTGAGTGTCTGTTACAGGTGTTTTGTTTTTCTCTTGTGTGGAAATATACCTACCTCTTCATCTGCTGAAAAGAATATTGAGCATTAAATAACTGGTTTCTGAGATATGGAGTTCTTTAATATAAATATCTGTTAATACTAATTCAAGAGAAGATATGATTTCTTGTGGAAGTAAAAGGGATTTTTGGTGATATTTTCTGGCCAAGTCATCAATAACATTTTTCAATGTAAACCTAAATTGTGGAGTGGTATTTTTAGTATAGCTAAGTGAAGCAAACATTTTAAGAATATATAAATATGAAACAACACATGGGTTGAAGCAAGCAGTAGAAGTACACCTGCTGCTTGTTGTCTGTGAACTGCAATAAACCTATGGTGCTGACTGATACTGAAAACAGGAAGGTAACGTTATGGTGGAGAGAAAGTAACAATATGTAATCCCATTTAGAAATGCTCTGCGTATGGGTAGTCTTGCTAACTACAAGACAGTCACTATTGGGAGAGAGAATTCGGTTAAAAAGTGCTAAGTACTAGAAACATTAAATGTCAAAAATGCTGCTGCTGCTTGATACCCATCAAAACTGTTTGTTTAGACATTTGCTAATAGTCACGCCACCATTTTAATGTGAATGTTAGAGGTGGGCTTTGGAAACTCTATTCCCCAGATACTCTCACCTCTTTTCAACCTGATCGATGAAGTGATTCTGGTAAAAATTTTTTAGTCAAAACTGCTAAAATAAGTAGAAGTCTTTTAGATGATTTTTCATTTTGCGTGATACATTAACAGATTTCTTACTGCTCCTTTTGTGGAGAAAATACAGAAAGAGTTATTCCCCTTCCAAATAATGTGATTACTAAGAGAGATGTTTTGAGGTGCTCAGCATGCAAAGAGTATGAGATGGGTGGAATTAGAATCCATATCCTGAACTCCCATGCTCCTTGCTCATCACTGCAAGAGCTGCAATTGTTGCTGTCTAATTGCATTCCTCCCAAGTATGGTCAAAAACATATTCATAGTTAGTGACAAAGTTGTATCTGGCAAGTGACACCATTGTTGCGCGGAAAAAAGTACATGGAGCTGTAGGTGTAAAGTGTGTGACACGTTTAATAGTTTTTGCATCTTCATTATCCATTTGTCTGTTCGTAACATGCAAACAGGTCACATCTTCAGTGTCTCAGGTTTGTCTCTTGACTCTGTACTAAAAGCTGCTTAAACTAAAAAACAGGTTCTAGGCAAAAAAAAAATGCTGGATACAGTCTGTTGTATTCAGCAATAATTCCTAATTGCTGGAGCTGATTCAGCTGGAAGGTAGTTCATCCATAATCTCCAGCACTGGGGATTTTTTGGCAGAATATAGGAATATGAAAAAATGCCTGTGCTGAACTGTAATGCATGTGATCATTGGGGGCTGGTTAGCTCAGTCAGTGCTGGTAACTCAGTCAGGTGCTGGTAACACCAAGATTGCGGATTCGATTCCCGTTCAGTCCCCATGTGTTGCCTGATCTAGTTGAAAGGCGTCCCTGCCCATGACAGGGAGGTTGGATTAAAATGATCTCTAAGGTCCCTTCCAGCCTAGGCCCTTCTACGATTCTGTTATTAAGTTTCCTGTCTGTTTTGTCTTGTGATTCTTCCAGCCTCTGTACTGATGCTTTTTGCATTTGCGTAAGTCTTATGTATTTATGTAATGTGGCAATGGGAAACGGGATGATGATGTACCCTTCCTTCTTGGACAAATGCCACTACCCTTAACCAAGCCAAAATGCTGGCTGGTTGGGTAACTTTGGAACGGCTACAGGAGCAAATAACTACAAACCAAGCTAGCAGATTTACAGCACACCTGCTACTCCAAGGTAATGGCTGGTGTGAATACACTTACCCAACTGTAAATTCAAGGTAGCTTACCCTGCTTTGATTAAAGGGTAATTTTTTTCGATGTGCCATGGGATGTGGGCAGCTAACTTGCAAATCTGTATCATTCTTTGTTTTGTGTTAAATTGGTTATTTGCTCTGTCTTTCTTTTGGTAAGCCAGATCAGATAAACTGATACTTTTCATGTGATCTAGCTCTGAAAGAGCATACTGAGAAGTATTCTAGTACAGGTTCAATTATGTCTTTGCTACACTTTGTAAAGGAAGAATTATGTCTTGCATGTTGGCAAATATTTAAAGAACTGGAAGTCAAATCTTCTCTCCCCTCATCATGCATGGAAGCTGCTTAAAGTTGATAACAACTTGAACCTTACTGGCAGAACTTGAGTAGAATCCTACCCTCGAACTCTGGGGCACTTGGTGACTTTTAAGAAAAAAAAATAAACAGTATGTTGTGAGAATGTTTGCATACAGACATGTCATATTGTCTGATAAAATGGGTACAACCAGTCTGAGATTGACATTCCATGGGCCAAAAAAAAAAATCGGTTACTAAATTGTGGGAACACTGCTGTTGTGAATCCATTTTCTGCAATACGGCTTTCCTAGTTCTATTTATGGTATATTTGATTGTTCTTGTGACTTGAGTCCCATTATGATCTTGAATATAATGGCCTTATTAAATGTGCATTTTTGTAGGCATGGTCTTGAGTGCAATACTTCTGTTTCTGACTATGCAGCCAGACTCACAGAATACAGGGCTGAACTTGTACAGCTTTTTATTTTTCAAAATTTGAGGCAATGATGCACACATGAGATACTGCCAGATTCATTAGTCATCATTGAGTCCAAGGCACCTCAGAATTTTGCCATGGAAGTAATAGAATATATGTATAAATGTATTTTCTATGTGCAGAACTGAAATTTAAATTATAAAATATACTTTGCATGGTATTCTTTTTATTTATTTTTTTAATACTTCCAATTTATTTAAAAGCAAAATTCAAACCATTTGAAACTTATATTTTTGCCAATGAGAGATATTTTTTTTCTAACAGCTCTGAAGCTCTTGGACCAGAGTCTCATAATTATTTGATGCCATATAAGTGATACAATTTGATTTAGCCTCATCTTTAGCAGTGGCAGTTGTTGGATTCTTTTAGCACTTTGTCAGCATAAAATAAATACAAATTATCTATATATGTATGTGACTTTATATATATGTACACATGCATAGTGTATGTGTGTGTGTATATATATATGTATGGGTTCTTAGCAGGTTTTTTCAATATGTGAAATAAATTATGTTTCTTTAATGTGAAGTTGGCAGGAACTAATAGAACAATTCCTGCAGCTCAAGCAGTAAAATTAAGCCATTTTCATTAATCCATAGATCCAGAGTCATTTTAGGCATAGGATAGCAGACAGGCTAGAGTCGCTTCTCCTTGTGTAATAAATATTTTGAGGCATCAGTTGTAGATTTTGAGGGCAGGGACCTCAACTCAGAGGAGCTGAGAAATTATCTTGTTTTATAGTAGTGATCATTTTAGGAAACAGTAGGAATAACTTGTTCCAGGTAAGTCTTTGATGTCATTGCAATCAAATTCTCTGTTTAACAAAACATTTAATGAATAAATAAATATGTCTCTGTAGGTTCAAAGGTGTTATATGACTATTAACTACTTCCAACTCCAGATTAGGAGAGAAAGATGAAGGCAAAATGAAAATGCTGCACTTTTTTTTTCTTTTTTTAGGTTAACCTTAGGGCGTATTTCTTCAGAGTAAGCACTTGAGCTCCTGTACTGGGGAGGCAGGTAGGAAAGGAGTAAATAGCTCTTGTGCTAAAAGGTCTCACTTCTAAAATAGCTGATGAGCACACTTGCTATCTCTTAAAAATTTGAGAAAATTGTTAGTGGTGCATCAAGATAAACCTTGAATGAAGGTAGTGCGGGATGAGAGTCATAATGTTTAAATAGGTGTTTAAAATTAGATCTGTTTCAGTTAAAATTGAAGAGAATGGGGAGCTTATTAAGTAGCTGGATAGTCCATTTATGTTGGTTAGAAGCACAGACTAATCCAATTTGACACCTAAAGCAAGTCACCCATATGATGTATCATTGCATTGCAGTCTGATGAGTTGGCCTCTTTGCTCATGCAAGCAGTAGGAGCTCTGTGGAAATCAGTGGGGTGGTTCCCCTTTACCTCAGCAGAGTACATTTAACCCTAAAGAACAGAGGAAACGCTTTCTGCCAATGTCCCATGAGGATGAGGGAAATGTGTGGTTCAGGATGCTGCTTTTGCATAAGGTGTTCATGCTTTTGTAAACAATGAAAATAAACATTACTTTTTTCATGCTGTTTGAGTTTGGTTTTATACATTCTGCAGAATATTCTGTGTCCCATCTTGCTTTGAGATGCCCGCTGCTTTTAATTTTGCACAGGTTGTGTTGATGTAATCTTACATAGCCCAGAAGCTTGAGAAAAACATTTTTGTGCCACATCCTCCCATTTTCAGGTAATGGAGGCTTTCTAATTTTGGATATTGCTGTAAAATGGTAGTCTAGTGGCTTTGAAGTGACCCTTAGCGAATTGACTGATAACAGGATGTCCACTTAAACAAGGAACAAATCTCTTGGAATGTATTCTGACTGTACAGAACATGTACTGGCATCAGGTTTGGCCCAAATGCCATCTCAAGGCTGGGATAAACTGAAAGTGTCGGATGGAGTTGGCCTTTGCTTCTCTCCCAGTATGGCTCCTGCCTTGGCAGGAGAGAGAGGGAAGAATCAGCAAAGTGAAAAATGGATGTAAAGCCTGAATATAATGGTTATAGCTAAGAAACCTTCTTGATCAACCTTCCTGTTTTAAGAAGGTGGCAGCAAGAGACTGCACACCGTACTCAAGGCTCCAAGTTGTTTGATCTTGGAAGTATTAACAATTAGGAATACAATTAGCCACGTGGTTTAGTTTTTACTGGACGCTGCATTGTGTTAACGTGGGCTCTCTCATCCTGGAGAATCTGGAGCACTTTTGGCAGTAGGTGTAATTCACAGTTACATGTTGCTGTGTACTGTAAGTTCCTTCATAGCTAGTCCACCAGGTATGATGTCTGTAATCAACCTTATAATACTGAGTTGCACCCGTGTTACGCTCCTGGCTCTTAAGTGCAAATAGCTGATCTGGATGTCAGGTAGTAGAGAATCAGGTCTGCCATCATAGCAAAATATGGTGTGGT